AAATAAATAAATAAATAAATAAATAAATAAATTTCTTTGGGGGGTCAGGGGCTGTTGAAACAGGGTTCTTCTACACAGGCCTTGCTGTCTCAGAAGCCACTATATTACCAGGCTGGTGACAAATCACAGGGGATTAAAGGCTTAAAGGTGCCGCTCCATCTGGTTATAAGTGGAAAGATTTATTAAGACATTGTTAACTTAAAAAAAATTATGTGTCAACTTGACACAAGAAAAAAAAAAAGAAAGAAACTAGGCTGGAGCCAGGCGTGGTGATGCGTGCCTTTAGTCTCTGCACTCAGGAGGCAGAGGCAGACCTAGACCTCGGTGAGTTCCAGGCCAGCCTGCTCTATATAACGAGTTCCTGTCTCTAAAAAAAACAAAAACAAAACAAAAAATTGGGCTAGAGAGAAGAGTGAAGAAGACACTCAACGACGGTCTCTGGTCTCTATACACACATGTGCAAAAGCATCCAACACGCATGGGGACTCACGTACACAAATTCATGCACCACACAGATAGAAACGGAAATCTTAAGATACCTGTGGCGTGACACTCAGTCATCTTGCATGTTAACTTTGAATGTCACGGAGCCAGTGCGCAGTGGATGTCCAGTGCCTATGGTTGGGTGGGCAGGTGATGGTTCCCAGAGGCTGACTAGTAACCCCAGCATTTCCCTCCCTACAGATCAACATGTACCTGACATCACGTGTCCTCTTTGCCTTGTGCCGCCTGGGTGTGGAGAAGGGCTACATCCCTGCGCTCAAGTGGGACCCGTTCCCCTTGCACACTGCAGTGATTTGGGGGCTTGTGCTGTGGCTCTTTGAGTATCACCGGCCCACTCTGCAGCCTTCACTGCAGTCCTCCATGACCTACCTCTACGAGGACAGCAACGTGTGGCATGACCTCTCAGACTTCCTCATCTTCAACAAGAGCCGCCCCTCCAAGTAACACGGTCCAAGGTGCTTCAGGAACTCCTCCGCCCAGACAGCCTCCAGGCAGGGTCCCGCTGCTGCTCAGGGTACCCTCATGGAGGATCCTGCCTTCTCAAAGTCATGGACCTCACACTCCAACTTGTATTATCCCAGGCTCCCATTTGCAGAAGTAAAGGTACTGAGTTTTTACACCTACCAGGTACTCTTGACTACTGTAGCAAGTGGCTGGATCCTGTTAAGGAGTCTGTGGCTTGATTCCAGATGCTCTTCCGACTTCTGTAAGGCCAGGACAAGTTCACCCCTCTCTCTCTGGTCATTCAGTTCAGTGGAGGACCCTTAGAGGAGAGTGTCTTCTTGGTGAATATGATAGCCTGCCTTTCTACTGTGTATCAGAGGGCTCCTTGCTAGTGGGCAATAGGTTATAAATACTTTGAAAGAAAAAAAAAACCCTAAATTCATTGTCTAAGTTCTTCTATTGAGAAGTTCTGGAGCCCCACTGTCCAATAGGAACACTACATGAGCCATATGTACAATTAAGGCTTTTCAGGAGCTCAGAGGCACAGCACGGGCCAAGCCCTGGATCTTATCACCAGCACTGAGAAGGCTGTGGCAGTAAGGTTGTGAGCTCGAGGCCAGGCTGGGATACATTAAAAAAAAGACTGTCTCAAAAAAAAAAAAAAAAAAAAAAAGGGCTCAGTGAGTAAAGATGGTTGTGGCCAAGCTTGGTGACCTGAGCTTGATCCCTGTGTTCTACGTGGTGACATGGTGGAAGAAGAGAACCAGATCCTGCAAGTTGTCATCTGACCTCCACATGTGTGCCTTGGCATGTATGTGTGCATGCGCGTATACACACACACATGCACATACACAATAGATAAAATATAATAAAAAAATTAAAGAACAGTAAGATTACTCTTAATCATATATTTTGCCTGCATGTACGTCTGTGTACCGTGTGTGTGTGTGTGTGTGTGTGTGTGTGTGTGTGTGTGTGTATGTTACCAGCAGAAGTCAGCAGAGGGTGCTGAATCCATGGAACTGGGGGTATGGATGTTGTGAAGTACCATGTGGGAACTGGGGCTTGGTCCTCTCAAGAGCACTTAGGGGTTTTTTTTGTTGTTGTTATATGTTTATTTGGGTTTTTTGCTTTTCCAAGACAGGGTTTCTCTGTGTAGCCCTGGCTGTCCTGGAACTCACCGTGTAGACCAGGCTGGCCTCAAACTCAGACTGCCTCTGTCTCCCAAGTGCTGGGATTAAAGACATGCACCACCCCTATCTGGTGAACTTAGTGCTCTTCACCACTGAGCAGCCTCAGACTTTAATCATATATATTTTAACTCAATATTTCCAAACCTTGTCATTGCAACATACGTTAATATAAAGGGTTAACAGCGGTTTTTCTTGAAGTACATCCTCAACACTGGCAGTGTGTTCTACATACATCAGGTAACACAGCTGTTGTCACAGAAGATTCCAGAGGACACTGAAAATCTGAAACTAAAGATACAGTCTGAGCCATGTACCCCCTCTGTAATGCGTCCCTAGAGGAAGGCTTTTCAACTTTCAGTTCCTCCAGCCTCATAAATGAGGATAATCACGGTAACCTGGATACGTCACAATACCTGAACCGCTATGCCAGTTACTTCAGCATAGTGAGTTTCTACTTTCTCCTGACTGCTTTGCACAAGGTTGCCTTTAATCCATAGTTACCTTGCAAGGATGCACGTTGGTCCATCCTTTCCAGTTCTGGAAACTGCAAGTCAGATAAGAGGTAATTTGCCCAAAGTAACATGGCTACTATGATGTAGTCTTGTGATGATTTGAACAGTCTGCCTAATTTCAAAGCCTGTGTTTCCTTCTGTGACTCACTTTAAACTTAGGAAACCTCAGCCATGCTTTTCAGTCGTTGATTATAGGATCTGACATTTGACA